GCCTAAGATGAGCACCACCTCTCGCCTCCGCAGCGGCATCCCTTCGGCCGCACTCCGACACTCTCCTCTTCCAGTAGAAGCAGTCTCAAAGGACACTTGCCGGTTGTCTGCCTTAAACCTAAGCTGCGCCATCGGTGGTACCAAACTCTTGCTAGGACCCAACATTTGGGCGTATGTGCTGCACCACTCTCACACAATCCACCACACACCCACACACGACACAACCACACACCACCACACACACACCACACACAGCTATATATACTATATACTACTATACTCTACCCCCCCCCCTACCCCCTCCTCTCATATACTACTCTCCTCACTCTCATATCGTATCTGTATGTATGTATGTCTCATCAAACACCATACATTACTACGCGTTATTCACTCTCTCGGCTTGTTATTTCCTCCACCACTTCTTCTCTCTCTTACTTATTTGTCCTTTTCATCGTCCTCCTCCTATCCTGCGTTTCCATTCGGTATGTATCATTTATTCTCTCTATTAATCAATTCACTTATCATTCTCATCCATCCGGGAGTCCCATTTAACTGATCACTACTCCCATTATGATTTACTCGTCAGTACACCTATGTATTCCTCTCTCTCCAATCACTTGTATTATTAATTTAATATACTTATTATCACCGCGTCTATCATCTAAACTCATTCTCTCCATTCATCATTATCCCTCCCATTTTCCATTACCATTCTTTCATCATTCTTATGTATAATCGTGTGCGATTATTATAATCTCTCTCTAATCATTATCTCTCATTATCATTCATCATCTTCATCGAATTATTTCATTACATCCATAACTGGCAATCATTCTCAGTTTACTATTCAATCTCCGCTATCATCCCCACTTACCACTCATAATTAATCATTTGCAACTCAGTAGCAGTAGTCTAGTTAATTCATCTCATATACTCTCCATATCCAGCTAATCATATCAAATTATTATTATTACTATTATTGCCCCTACCTGTTTTTTTACTATTCGCCTTCCCATCAGCTCTCCCACACTCTATCTCATTTTTATTGTTGTTTTGCTCTTTCTCAATATTCTCATACTTTATCTTCTATTAATACTATTACTTATGTCATCATTTATCCACCCATCGCGATCATTGCGTTATTAGTTATCCATTAACTCTTCACTCCCCTTCTCCTCTGCATTACTCTACTCATTTCTGCGCTTCATCGATCTACTTCAATCTACTCTCTACTCTCTCGCTCTGCTCTCTCTCTCATCTCTTCTCTACTTTCTCATCTTTCTCGTTTATATCCTAGTGTTTCTTGCACTCTTTATCTCATTATTCCGTATTGTTCTGGGTTCATTGCTCTTGATCTGTTCCTTGGTATCTCTATTTACTCACTCACTTCTTTTCTACTATCTATGCTACGTACTCCATCTTATCCTATCCCATTCCGATCTTCTCTATTATTAGTTTATGCTATCTGTCATCTTACAGAAATATACTCGTCCTTCTCTCCTGTTTCATCTCAATTCTCATCTATTCTTCATTCATTACACTTTACCTCTCAATGTAAGTGTTATCTGCATCGTATTCCTCTCTATCATTACTCTCTCATTATCTCATCGTATTTTCATTGAGCGTTTAGACAGTAGTACATCTACCTCGCCGTAAAACCCCTTATACCATGTTACCAGTACATACATCCTCTCGCTACTCTTCAATTTAAATTAGCGTCCCTTAAACTCTCCATTCACTTTTTCCTCTTCTTACTTCCCTTACTTTACTATCTTATCACTCTCTTCAAATCTTACCCTCGTGAGGCATCTTAAAGCGGTCCAACCTTACACAATCAAAAAACACCTTCAAAAAAATAACATCCATACCCTCCGTAGTATTTTACGTGAATCTTCCCTCCTCAACCATACGTTTGTAATTTGCAGCCAATAGGATTATAGGAACTAGTGAAAAAGATCTCGTTTCGCCTTCTGATAATTCAAACCCACGACAGTCATCTAAACGAATCTCGGCCCTGCTCAGTGACCTCCCTCTACCGTCCCGGTCGAACTCTCCCTCGCCTCCAGCTCCTCCCTCCCTCCCTCTCTCGTCTCTCTCTCTCTCTCCTCTCTCTCTTCTCTCTCGCGTCTCTCTCTTCTCTCTCTTCTCTCTCATCTCATCTCCTCTGGCCATCTCATCAGTAGTCCTCTCTCTACATCTTCAATCTCGTCTCTCCTCTTCTGACTCTCTCCTCCATACTCTCTCTTATCTCTTCTCTCTTCTAATTTCTTCCCCTAACCTCACTCAACGAGACTCATCCGACACAACAACAGCCACCACACATCAATCAACACACACACACCACACGACAAGCAACACACATACACAACACACACAACACACACCCAGCGAAGCAACATCACTATGCAGCGACGACACAACCACTCAACAGACACACCACACACGATGAACCCGTTCGAAACCATATCGCTGTACCGCCATGTTACTTTGAATATTTACATGATTATTATTTTAATTATCCTGTTATATATTAGATATAATTTTAATGCGTATCTACCTATTTCTTCTTTACATATTAACTTCGTGGACTAAAGCATATATAAATAGCAATTTTATCTATTGGTCATATAATATACTATATCGTTATATACATATAACTTTTATATATATATAAGGTTTATCTATTATCTATATACTAGTAGTATATAATATTACTTATATGAGTATTAGTTGACGAGGAGAGAGTTAAGTGGGGTAGTGATCGATAAGAGAGAGGAGGATGAGGAGAGACAGAAGAGAGGAAGAGAGAAGTATTTAGTAGTCAATACATACTTCTGGTGCTGTAGATCATTTTTTTATCTAACGAAGGAAAAAAAAACATAGCAAGCTTAAATAACCCATTTCATCTATTCACGACCCCTTTCATATTCAAAAAATACAAATAATTATATCATAAATATTAAATTACCAAAGATCTTTAAAGTAAAAGAGGACATCTCAATCACACGAGCGAGCACACACAGAACACACCATACCAAATCACAATAGACAAACATATACATAATAATATACTCAAACTATAGTACAAATACTAAAGAACATAGAAATGAGGGGAATAAGTAGTAACTATATATATAGTTAAAGAGATACTATAATAGGTATAGTAATAATAAGAAACATATAAATATTATAAAGATTATGGTACATAAGAGCATAGGGGATAGGAGATGGTGAGAAAAAAAAAATATAATAACGTATATACAGCTTGTTTAACCCTCATTTATCATTACGATTCGGCTTAGGTAAGTATTATAATGCTTATGGAACAAGCACAGGTTAGACGTGTACTTACGAGTTATTAGAAATCCACAGATACTACCATGACTTATTATGTTTATCGGCCGAGTATATAGATTGTAACTAATAAACACACATAGTATATTATAATATTGATATTATTCAAGGTACCAAGCGTATAGTGATATATTTATATGTTGTTTGGTTGGGTTGACAAGCGCATGTGGTATCCGCGAAATTATAGTGTTGTGCTAGCTGTGGTGTTGTGTGTGTGTGGCTGTTGGTGCGCCCAGTCTTGGTATGTGTGTGTGTTTGTAAGTGTGTGTATATATATATATGATTATTGTATATAGTAATGAGTTATATATAATATATTGTATGATATATATATATATATTATTTAGGTTGTCTATTTAAATCGTTATAACACACACACACACACACACGAGGTCGACACACACACACACACACACATAAATAGTATATATATATTATATATACTAGTGTTTTATATGTATTATTATATGATCAATACTATTAAATATATATAACGTGTATAGTAATGATATATGGGAAGATATATAATAGTAAGGAGTGAGGTTAGAGGTAATAGTATAATATGTGAAAGTGTGTGTTTGTGTGTGTGTGTAAAGTGTGTGTGGTGTCGTGTGTGTGGGTGTGTGAATGTGTGTGTGTGTGTGTGCGGTGTGAGCAGTTGGCGTGTGCGTGTGCGTGCTGCGTGTGCGTGTGCGTGTGCGTGTGCGTGCGTGCGTGCGGTGTGCGTGTGCGTGTGTGTGTGTGTGTGTGTGTGTCTGTGTGTGTGCGTGTGCGTGTTGTGTGTGTGTGTATGTATATGTAGACACGCACACACACACACATATGTATACATATACATATGTATAAATGTGTATATATGTGTGTGTGTGTGTGTAAAAAAGAGAATTATCAAAATGTTGAAAATTTCTACAAGCAGAACAGTTACATCTTAAAAAAATGAAAATTGAAATGGAAAATCCTTCTCGTTTAGGCCGTACAATGTCCTTCCCATAGAGAAAATTCTTTTTATTGTTGCTCTTGAAGGCACTTGGGTGTTAAGTTGCAGAGAGACTGATTTAAATGCAGCAGAGGGACGCGTGACATCACTTCGCTTGTCAGTGTTGATGACAAATTAATGGCGACCTGCTCAGCATTCGAATATCCGCTTGCATCTCTTATCAGAGAAGTCAGCTGTGAGACGAACTGCATGTTTGTTGCAATGCCTTATTATATGTTTTCAGTCTGACTTGTCCATAAAGAAACGAGTAACAATCAATGGCCATAATTTGAAAAAGTAACAGCGATACCAAATTCATTACTCATGATAAATAATAACGGCATTACCATCATCGTTACTATAAGAATAACGGCGCTATGAAACGGCGAGACTAGTGATGGCGGTATACCCACCGCTATATATGCATATCTGTGTGTGCGTGCGTGATATATACATATATATATATATATATATATATATATATATATATATATATATATATATATATATGCACATATGTGTGTATTTGTGTCCGTATCTATCTTTTATATACATATATGAAAATACATAGACATATGTATACAGTACATTTTTTTTTTCCAAAGCACTTCAGGACATTGCAAAATATATTTCATAAGTATAGTAACTAAAATACGGTTAATTTGTTTGTGTTTTATTCATGGAAATCAACAGTACATAATGTATAAAGCACTACGATATTTTCTCAAATGCAAAAAGGGGTTTGATGCATGAAAGATTGCTTGATGTTCTCATGATGACAGCTGATGACAGCAGAGCCACAGGGATGTCCTGATGTTGCATTGCCCTTGTGTCCAGAGAGCGTAGGATAGGCCAAGGTGAGTATTCATATAAAATCCTTGGATTAGGTTGCTAGGTTAGGTAATTTGATCGACTTTAAGCCAAATTAAGTCTTATTTCGAGGAAGTTGTTAAGCTTAATGATAATTTTTAAGATGAAATCTGCCTCGGTATCCAGCAGGGATGAAGTTGATAAGCTCGAGGGGAAAAATGACTGTGATCACACCCTTTCTTCAGTTACAAGGTGGATCATATACAGCTCTCCTGATTACAAGAGAGGTCACAGGTCACAAGTCCAAGGTAACGCCGTGGAGGAGGTGACGCAACTCCGCGTTCTCCCGCCGCAGCCGCTCCACCTTCCGCGTCTCGTCAAGGCGCCCTGGGAGACAAGGATTGGTCAGATTCCCCGAACTACATGAGTGGTCGATCTTTAGAGGCACAGCTGAAAACACTGTAACAAGTCATTTGATAATCATCTATAGTATTATATCAGACTGATCTATTCTGAGTAATTTACTCTTAGTAGAAACGTTTCAGTGCAGTTACCACGCTTGTTATTCTGCGAAAGATGTTATTAGTTGGGTAATTTTCTATATTACCTTCGCCTCTCCGATATCGACGATTTTGGTATCGTTGGATTGTCCACATTGCAAATATATAGTTTTTATTGCGCGGTAACCCCCCGTTAGCGACAAACTTGGCCCCGATAGCAGGAGAGGGCATGAAAGGTTCCAGGGAAAATGCGGGGTTAAATAACACTAATATAACCCACAGTGAAAATAACCATGGTTATTCACATGACTTTCCATTGCGACCCCCACCCCCCGCCGAGGAAACAAAACCTCCACCACGTATTCCCGGCAGGCTAGAGCGTTACACAATTATCGGCGATCTCGGAGCGGCAGACGCATTACATTTACCTCGTAACATTCCCACCGAATCAGCATACTAACCTTAATATAGTCAACATTGTATACAGATACAATTGTACTATTATCAGGATGAACAAGGTATACCATGAACAGAAGAGCGGCGGTGACCCGCTCTCGTCGGGTCATCGGGTTTTGCTCCTTTTTCGATGCATCTAGTTCGTGTGCGTTCTATCCTGCCGTGAATACGTGGGGGATATTTTGTGTCCTCGGCGGCGGTTGGTGAGCGGCAGCCCCCCCTCAGGGGACGGGCGCAGCCCCCTGCAGTGGGAAGTCATGTGAATAACCATGGTTATTTTCACTGTGGGTTATATTATTAGGATAATTTTCTATATTACGTCCGCCGCTCCGACATCGTCGACCCTGCTTACGGGGTCAAGTTTGCCACTAACGGGGGTTTCCGCGCAATAAAAACTACATATTTGGATTGTACAGAGTGAGAGAAATCCAATGATACCAACATTGTCGATATCGGAGAGGCGAAGGTAATATAGAAAATTACCATTAGTTGCTTAGATGAATTATATAATATATAATACACGATAAATGTAGTACAAGTTATGAAGGCCTACAACTCTAGGAAATGCAGACGTTCCCTAGTCCCTCACGATCCCGGTGTCGTGTTCGGCTGCACGAAGCTTCGTGTTCGGGTTGAAGAAGGACGATCCCGAAGCGTTGTGTTCGTTCGCACGGTTTCGTGTTTGGGTTCCAAAAGCTGTTTTTCGTATTTGGCGCCATTCGACGCGCCAACCAGAATGGACCGCCTTCCAGCGCTTTCTGAACGCCAAAGAATTGTTTTATTACAATTATTTGTAATTATTTTATTAATAATTCTTTGGCGTTCAGAAAGTGCTGGAAGGCGGTCCATTCTGGTTGGCGCGTCGAATGGCGCCAAATACGAAAAACAGCAAGGAAAAGGTCCGAAACGTAAACGTTGCAAGCAGAGACGATAACGATTGGTGCATAACATTCATAATTTAATTTCCGTGTTTTAAATCATTAAAACAATATAAAATGTATACCGTGTAATCTATTTATATTTTCGAGGTGCTAATTAGGCGTTTTCATACTTCAGCTGTGATTAGGGATACGACTTTCGTGATCGTCCATTTGATACCCGAACACGAAAGTTCGTGCGAACGAACACAACGCTTCGGGATCGTCTTCTTTAACCCGAACACGAAGCTTCGTGCAGCCGGACAAGACACCTCGGGATCGTGAGGGACTAGGGATATGGGCCATAAATTGATATTCCCTGTTTAAGGTGTTTTGGAAATCTATTCAGGACTTGTCAGGGTGGGAGAGAAATTCCTGTAATTGCAGGGCCAGTTCCAGGGGGGGGGGGGCGTGAGGGGTGTACGCCCCCCACTATTCTGGAATAGCAATGTTTCTTTTCCGCCAGAATTTTTTAATGGCTGTCCAG